TATTATAAATGTATAATGAAATGAGCAGTATAATAATGAAACTTATTGTTACACTGAAAAAGTTCTAACGTTATAATACTCTTATGCGCATTCCTATTTAATATCTAAATGAGGATATCGAGGATTGAAATAATTTGATATATGCGTAAATTTATACATGCCTAAAAATGTATTCGGTGTATCACCATCAAAAGTGCTAAGAATGCATTACTTGCCTATGCTCATAAATTATGTTGTGTAAGATTATAGTACGTTTCAAATCTTCATATTACGTCTATAAATATTCCTTTTAATTTTTACAATTATATAGACATTGCAAGTAGTTTTATGGGACACATCTGTTATTTATGTATGAAGTATGATGATAAACAAAACGTCCATTCATTGAATGGAGTATTAAGTATTGCTTTCGGCTATAATACATTATTTTTCTTAGATTGTACTAAGATATGTATTACTTAGTCATTTAATTTTTGTAAGACATTTGTAAAAAAAAATGGAAAATAGAAAATGATACGCACAAAATGGAATTCTAATTCCATGAAATGTAATAAAAAAAGGTAAAAATAAAATAAAAGATTTTATGAATATTGTTTTTTTTAATTGTATCTATACAAGCATAGAGTCTAATTTTTTATCCTTCTAACTCCGAATAGTAAGAGAGAGAAATTAATCCTTTTTGTGAAAACATTCTTTTAATTATGTACGAAATTAATAATTCCAATTTATGTTTTTATAAATGTATGTACGTACATAAGTACGTGTATTTATTTCACAATTCGTTATTATATCGGCTTCGAATTTAAATGTGATAGTAAAGAAGTGTTAGTGCATCACAATCGCTGTTGATCGTAGTGTGTATGAATCGTACGTCCATCGTACGTCACCGAATTGTTCAGAATTGTTCACGGAGTTACGGGAGTCACGGACGGATGAAAAAGTGATATAAAGGTCCTAATATGGCTAGTGATAAAAAATCAGGCAAGTCTGCGAAAAGCACGAAGTCTACTACAGAAATATTGTCGGAATTTCAAATGCTTCGCAATGAACAAAGGGCGATGGCTAATAAATTGTCAGAAATGGAGATGGGATTAAATGAACACAAGTACGTGTTTCCTAACCTATAGTGGTAATTTCTATCATTTACGAATGTTGTCTCATAATACCGTTTATTGTTTTTAGAACTGTAATTGATACTCTAAAAAATGTAGATCCAAAGAGGAAATGCTATCGAATGACTGGAGGTGTCTTATGTGAATGTATTGTAGAAGACGTAATGCCTGCATTGGTAACAAACAAAGAACAGGTTAGATTTGTTTAATCTTCCACTAGTTAAATGGATTTATTTTATAACATATTTTCTATGATGTTCTATGATTTGCAGTTAATAAAAGTCATAGATAACTTGAATGAGCAGCTAACGAAAAAAGGAATTGAAATAAATGAATTCAAAGAGAAGCATAATATTACAATACAACATGATATGCAACAACCGCAGAGG